AAAGAGATTCCACCTCAACATTAGGAGGAACTTCCTAACAGTCAGGGCTGTTTGACAGTGGAGCACACTCCTTCAGAGAGTAGTGGAGTCTCCTTCTTTGGAGGTCTTTAAACAGAGGTTGGATGTCCATCTGTCAGGTATGCTTTGACTGGGAGTTCCTGCATGGAAGGGGGTTGGACTGGATGGCCCTTGTGGTCTCTTCCAATTCTATGATTCTGTGCTTCCAGATCTTCTTGGAGGGGAGAATTTAGAAGGTGGTGCTCAAGGATTCCTGTACAACCACCTGGCCATTGGCCTGTGGAATCCTTCAGGGCTCAGTTTATCCTCTATGCTAATATCTACACTAAACCATTGTGAAAGAGTATCCAGAGATTTAGGGCTCAGTGTCACCAGTATGTTGATTACACCCAACTCCGTCTTGCCTTTCCATCTAAATCTGTCATAAGGAAGCTGTCATAAACCAGTGCTGGTCAGCAATAATGGACTGAGTGAGAGTAAACAAATTGAAACTTAATCCAGACAAGACAGAATTACTCCTGGTCAATTGGAAGGCAGCTCAGGGAATAGGGATTCAGCCTGTGCTGGATGAGGTTACACTTCCCCTGAAATCTCAGGTTCACAACTTGGGCACACTCCAGAACTCAGATTTGAGCCTGGATGCCTAGCTTTCAGCAATGGCCAGGAGTGTGTTTGTACTGCTTAATTTACTATGCCAATTGCACCCATTCTTGGAGATGTATCATCTGACTACAGTGACACATGCCTTGATTAAATTCTGGTTTGAATACTGTAACATTCTTTACATGGGGCTGCCTTAGGATGTTTCTTGGAATTGTCAGCAGAACATTTCAGCTCTTGACTGGAACTCTTTAGAGGGAACATTGTTAAAACGTTGGTTACTGGTGCATTCCAGGCAAGACTCAAATTACTGGTTATTACCTTTAAAGCACTATACTACATGGTTTCATACTATCTGAAAAACTGTACCTCCTTATATGAGCTTGCCTGAGTTTTAAGATCTTTAGCAGATTGCTTTATCTCCAACCCACCACCATCACAGGCCCATTTGGTGAGAAATATGAGAGACAGCCTTTTCAATTTTACAAAGTTTTTAGCCTTCTCAGCTAAAGAGTGCTGGTGCTTCAAACAACAACAACAACTTACACATCCCAGGATTCTGTAGGATGGAGCCATGGCAATGAAAGTGGTACCAAACTACATTGTTTCTACAATGTTAGATGCACCTCTACAGACACAGCTACAGACAGACAGACAGACACTATGAATGCATGCATGAATAAATGAACTGAAGGTGGCAGCATGGTGTTTTTAAAATTGTGGGTTTTGCTGTTGTTGATCTTGTTTCCTTACTCATAATGGACTGCAGCAGAACTTCTGGCAGATTACATTTTGGGGGAATCAAGATGGCAGCCATCCTGTGGCTTCCAAAGGGACCAAAGGTGGGGGTAGTAGTAAGGCAAGAGTGTCCCCTCTTCAGTTGTCACCAATAGTATGGACCTTAGTGTTTGTTTGATGTTGTCATGTAGCAAATGTGAGGTCTCTTCCAGAACACCCAGTTTCATCATGGCATTAAATCCCATGGAAGCTGCCATTCTGGCATCCTTTTCCTGGAGCATAGTATAATATCAGTGAGGGACTCTGCCTTACTCAGAAAACTTATCAGGGGACAAAAGAATGCTTGGAATGTTAAAATGGCTAAAATGGGCTTGTTGAAATGCTGAGCAAGGAGTTGTGGGGCCTCACCTGGAATACTGTGTCCAGTTCTGGGCACCACAATTCAAA